GCACTCACACTGGCAGTAACAGCAGCATTCACACTGACAGTAACAGCAGCACTCACACTGACAGTAACAACAGCATTCACACTGACAGTAACAGCAGCACTTACACTGACAGTAACAGCAGCACTTACACTGACAGTAACAGCAGCACTCACACTGACAGTAACAGCACACTCCAACTGACAGTAACAGCACACTCACACTGACAGTAACAGCAGCACCCTCACACTGACAAGTTAACCCCAGCACCCACATGACAAATAAAGCAGCACTCACACTGACAGTAACAGCAGCACTCCCCACTGACAGTAACAGCAGCACTCACACTGACAGTAACAGCAGCACTCACACTGACAGTAACAGCAGCACTTACACTGACAGTAACAGCAGCACTTACACTGGCAGTAACAGCAGCACTCACACTGGCAGTAACAGCAGCATTCAAAACTGACAGTAACACAGCATTACACTGACAGTAAAGCAGCACTTACACTGGCAGTAACAGCAGCACTCACACTGACAGTAACAGCAGCATTCACACTGACAGTAACAGCAGCACTCACACTGAGAGTAACAGCAGCATTCACACTGACAGTAACAGCAGAACTCACACTGACAGTAACAGCAGCACTCCAAATGACAGTAACAGCAGCACTCACACTGACCGTAACAGCAGCATTTTCACTGGCAGTAAAAAGCAGCACTTACACTGACAGTAACAGCAGCACTCACACTGACAGTAACAGCAGCACTCACACTGACAGTAACAGCAGCACTCACACTGACAGTAACAGCAGCACTCACACTGACAGTAACAGCAGCATTTTTAAAACTGGACAGTACAGCAGCACTCACACTGACAGTAACAGCAGCACTCACACTGACAGTAACAGCACATTTACACTGACAGTAACAGCAGCACTCACAAGACATAACAGCAGCCCCTCACACTGACAGTAACAGCAGCACTCACACTGACAGTAACAGCAGCACTCACACTGACAGTAACAGCAGCACTCACAAATGACAGTAACAGCAGCACTCCCCACACTGACAGTAACAGCAGCACTCACACTGACAAATAACAGCAGCACCACACTGACAGAACAGCAGCACTCACACTGACAGTAACAGCAGCACTCCACACTGACAGTAACAGCAGCACTCACAACTGCAGTAACAGCAGCACTCACAAATGACAGTAACAGCAGCACTCACACATGACAGTAACAGCAGCACTCACACTGACAGTAAAAGCAGCACTCACACTGACAGAACAGCAGCATTTACACTGACAGTAAAAGGCAGCACTCACACTGACAAAAGGCAGCACTCACACTGACAGTAACAGCAGCACTCACACTGACAGTAACACCAGCACTCACAACTGACAGTAACAGCAGCACTCACACTGACAGTAACAGCAGCACTTTACACTGACAGTAACAGCAGCACTCACACTGACAGTAACAGCAGCACTCACACTGACAGTAACAGCAGCACTTACACTGACAGTAACAGCAGCACTTACACTGGCAGTAACAGCAGCATTTACACTGAAAATAACAGCAGCACCTCACACTGACAGTAACATCAGCATTACCACTGACAGTACAGCAGCATTACACTGACAGTAATAGCCCCACTCACCACTGACAGTAACACACACTTACACTGACAGTAACAGCAGCATTTACACTGACAGTAATAGCAGCACTCACACTGACAGTAACAGCAGCACTCACACTGACAGTAACAGCAGCATTTACACTGACAGTAACAGCAGCACTCACACTGACAGTAACAGCAGCATTTACACTGACAGTAACAGCAGCATTTACACTGACAGTAACAGCAGCATTTACACTGACAGTAACAGCAGCATTCACACTGACAGTAACAGCAGCACTCACACTGACAGTAACAGCAGCATTTACACTGACAGTAACAGCAGCATTTACACTGACAGTAACAGCAGCATTTACACTGACAGTAACAGCAGCACTCACACTGACAGTAACAGCAACACTCACACTGACAGTAACAGCAGCATTTACACTGACAGTAACAGCCAGCACTACACACTGACAGAACAGCCCGCACTCACACTGACAGTAACAGCACATTTAACACTGACATAACAGCAGCATTTACACTGACAGTAACAGCAGCATACACTGACAGTAACAGCAGCATTTACACTGACAGTAACAGCAGCACTCACACTGACAGTAACAGAAGCATTTACACTGACAGTAACAGCAGCATTTCTAACACTGACAGTAACGCAGCACTCACACTGACAGTAACAGCAGCACTCACACGACAGTAACAGCAGCACTCACACTGCAGTAAAAACCAGCATTTACACTGACAGTAACAGCAGCACTCCCCATTGACAGTAACAGCAGCACTTCACACTGACAGTAACAGCAGCACTCACACTGCAGTAACAGCAGCCTCACACGACAGTAACAGCAGCACTCACACTGGCAGTAACAGCAGCACTCACACTGCAGTAACAGCAGCACTCCCCACTGACAGTAACAGCAGCACTCACACTGAAAAGTAACAGCAGCACTTACACTGACAGTACAGCATCACTCACACTGACAGTAACAACAGCACTCACACTGACAGTAACAGCAGCACTTACACTGACAGTAACGCAGCACTCACACTGACAGTAACAGACACTCACACTGACAGTAACAGAGCACTCACAACTGACAGTAACACAGCACTCACACTGACAGTCACAGCAGCACTACACTGACAGTAACAGCAGCACTCACACTGACAGTAAACAGCAGCACTCACCCTGACGTAACAGCCAGCACTTACACGGCGGTAAACGCAGCACTTACACTGACAGTAACAGCACACTCACACTGACAGTAACCGCAGCACTCACCTGACAGTAACAGCACACTCACACTGACAGTAACAGAGCACCACACTGACAGTAAACAGCACACTCACACTGACAGTAACAGCAGCACTCACACTGACAGTAACAGCAGCCTCACACTGACAGTAACAGGAGCACTCACACTGACAGTAACAGCAGCACTCACACCCGAAAGTAAAAACAGCACTCACACTGACAGTAAAAGCAGCACTCACACTGACAGTAACAGGAGCACTCACATGACAGAACAGCGCACTCACACGAACAGTAACGCAGCACTCACACTGACATAACAGCACACTCACACGACAGAACACACACTCCACGCAGTAAAAAAGGAGCACCACACTGGCAGTAACAGCAGCACCCCACTGACAGTAAAGCAGCACTCACACTGAAAACACCCCCCCACACACAGAAACGCACACTTACATGACAGTACAGGCAGACCCACTGACAGTAACAGCAGCACTCACACTGAAGTAACAGCAGCACTTACACTGACAGTAACAGCAGCACTCACACTGACAGTAACAGCAGCACTCACACTAAACAGTAAACACAGCATTCACACTGCAGAAAACAGCAGCACTTACACTGACAGTAACAGCAGCACCACACTGACAGTAACCAGCAGCACTCACACTGACATAACAGCAGCACTCCACTATAGTACAGCGCACTCCCTGACAGAAACAGCAGCACTTACACTGACAGTAACAGCAGCACTTACACTGACAGTAACAGAAAGCATTCACACTGACAGAAACAGCAGCACTTAAAACTGACAGTACACCCAGCCTTACACTGACAGTACAGCACATTACACTGACAGTAACAGCAGCCCCACACTGACAGTAACCCCACATTCACACTGACAGTACAGCACACTTACACTGACAGTAACAGCAGCACTTACACTGACAGTAACAGCAGCATTCACACGACAGTACACAGCACTTACACTGACAGTAACAGCAGCATTCACAACTGACAGTAACAGCAGCATTTACACTGACAGTAACACAGCACTCAACACTGACATAACAGCAGCACTCACACTGACAGTAACAGCAGCATTCACACTGACAGTAACAGCACACTTACACTGACAGTAACAGCACCCACTCACACTGACAGTAACGCAGCACTCACATGACGTAAACACTCACACTGACAGTAACAGCAGCACTCACACTGGCATTAACAGCACACTCACACTGACATAACACAGCACCACACTGACAGAAACCCACAGCACTCACACTGACAGTAACAGCAGCACTCACACTGACAGTAACAGCAGCACTCACACTGACAGTAACAGCAGCACTCACACTGACAGTAACAGCAGCACTCACACTGACAGTAACAGCAGCACTCACACTGACAGTAACAGCAGCACTCACACTTGATTCCAGAAAGGGATTATTATTATAATCATGACTAAGCGCTAAACCCAAGAGGGGGAGATATTATTATGACTAATTATAAATGTTGCGGGACTGACGCCAAGTTTTAGCTAATAAAAACACTCGATCAATAACTTGAAACTTTATTTAAACAACGTTTTGCGTGGATAGGAAGCTATCAAGTGTGATGACAGGGCGAAACTTTGTCTTGTTAAAGTTTACACTTGTTACTTGTTTGTCTGTCAACTGTTACGCTGATGAAGCGAACTTTACGCCTCATCACGAAAACCGCGAAAACCCTGGGGTTTTTATCGCGGTGTAGAGATACTCAGACTCAATCTAAGGGGGTTGTAGCTCCACTTACTACTACTTCTACTAGTAATAATATATCTTTATTTCTACAAGTACATGTACAAGGTATATAGTCCTAGCTGACATCAATGACATACTACTATATAGAAAGTCGCTTGTTATGCTGAGCATTTCGGGCAAATTGGGTCAGTTCTGTCCCGGGAATGCGCCCCACACCGTTCGACTAACACCCAGGTACTCATTTTATACTGATGAGTGACCAGGGACAGCAGGTGTCTTATGGAAACACGTCCCTAATCAGAGGCCCTCACTTGAAGAGTTCACTTTTAATGAGAAATATTTTATAGAACATTGCAGCAGGGTTGTACCTGATAGTATTAGCAGAGTCCGGGTGACCAAGCAGGAGTATCAGCAGAGTCCGGGTGACCAGGCAGGAGTATCAGCAGAGTCCGGGTGACCCAGGCAGGAGAATCAGAGTCGGGTGACCGGGCAGGAGTATCAGCAGAGTCCGGGTGCCCCAGGCGGGAGCATCAGCAGAGCCCGGGTGACCAGGCAGGAGTATCAGCAGAGTCCGGGGACCAGGCAGGAGCAATCAGCAGAGTCCTGTGACCGGCAGGGTATCAGCAGAGTCCGGGTGACCAGGCAGGAGTATCAGCAGAGTCCGGGTGACCAGGCAGGAGTATCAGCAGAGTCCGGGTGACCAGGCAGGAGTATCAGCAGAGTCCGGGTGACCAGGCAGGAGTATCACTTAACACCACTCTCCCTCACAGAGGTCTCACCACGTCTGTGCTGATATTACTTACCCAGGGTTGCCGACACTGATTTATAAAACCAAATTAAAAGCTACGTCGCTTCCAAATATAACATTAATAAATATTATTTTAGTCGAAATAGTACAGGGTGAGGCAAAAATTTATTGCAACTATTACTATTCACAATGTATTGAGTTTACAAACAGGTGTAGGTCTAGCAATATCATTTTATCAAATTTTTATGATTCTTCATTTAAATCGTCAATATGTACTGATAATGGTGATAATGGTAATAATGGTAATGGTGATAATGATAATGGGCATCAATAATATCGGTTCTGCTCTCTTATGTAAAGTTCGTGAATTACTTAGCATTCTGTCTGTTACATGAGACGATGCAGAAATTTCCTTATTAAGAATATGATTCCTTATTAATTATCCACGAAGAGAGATCTTTAAGAGCTGTCTCAATTTTTTTTCTTCCTCCAATTTTCTGTTATCATTTCATAACTCGAGTGAAATAAAATTGTGGAAAATGATCGATGGATTGTCATAAAAGAGCCAGAGATATGAATTCCAGTACTGGATTGTAATTTCAGTTACTTTAACAAATACTGAGCCAAAAACTGAGCAAGGAACGTTATGGCTGCTCTAAATTTCCATGTGTCCGCTGATATTCCACTTTAATAAAGCATTTATCAGGAAAGAGTAAAACATTAGACATAATGTAAATTTTACATTAGACATAGTGTAAATTTTACATTAGACATAGTGTAAATTTTATATTAGACATAGTGTAAATTTTATATTAGACATAGTGTAAATTTTACATAAGACATAGTGTAAATTTTACTTAATGCTGATGTGTGGTGGACGCTGAAAATTAGAAATAAGTGATTTGTTGGTAATTATACAAAGGAAATAAAGAGCAAAGGGAAGTGTAGTGTGTCTCAGAGGTGGGGAATGTGTAGGTCTGCGGATGTGTCGACGTCCATGGCAAGTTTTGTTCTCAATAACAGTCGTTGTGGCCTCTTCTGTCGTCAAGACTGTCTACGACTCACCTATGCCAATATATATGTCTCCATTCTGATTTTCTTTTTCACATTGTTGCGGACTATGAAGCAGAACTCTTCTCCAGGCTGAGGGACTGACCACCTCAAAACTACTTCGAGGGTGATGGACTGATTACATCGTCTCTACAGCACAACTGCTTCCACTGCCACCTCTGTACTCGACTAAAGAAGCCTACTGTGTAACCTAACGTCTCAGAATAAAGATACCTAAATGCTGCAGTGTTAATCAGTCCATCAGTCTTTTCAAGATTGATGGACTGACTACATCGACTTAAGGCTGAGGGACTGATTACCTCAAACTCCTTTTCTTAACCATTCTCCTTTGTATGGACTGATGAAGCCACTGTGTGGCGAAATGTTTCCTCATTAAAGATACCCAAGTGTTGCACACGTGTCCCCTCAAGGGAGGTTCCTTGACGCTGGTGAGGAGCTCTTGATCTAGGGAATTGGATTTGTGCTCCAGTTCTCTGAATTGAGCCTGAATACCTTCCACCCCCCCCTCCTACGTGAGCTGTATAATCCTACGGGTTTAGCGCTCCCCATGATAATAATAATTATAATGCACACGTGTCTAATTTATCAACTTGTCGGTTCTCTGAACTATTCATCAATAAGATTCATCGACATAAGCGGTGAAGTCTAAAATAGTTGATTCTCGAAGAGATTTTGCATTAAAGAAATCAGGAAACAGGTAATGTCCACGGGAAACCTGGGCAAAAATGTCCAATTGTATTAGCAACTTAAATGGGATCCCCCATTTTAACACTAACAATGACCAGGACTTGAGCGGCTTCAGGGGATTATTTGCCTACCAATTCTCACATATTTTTTCCAGACTGCACTCATGGGAATCATAACATTTTAAACGGAGACAAAAACGCGGGCTTATAAGTCTTGTTATTTTGTGTGGGAGTGGGGCCATTTTCCCGATACGAACCCCGTGTGGCACGTTAACAGAGGTCGCAGGCAAACGGGGATCATCCGGGCGCTTATGTGTTAATAATTTACAGGTTTTTTGCCGGATAGAATTCTGGCAGCCGAAAGAGGAGAGTAACAAATAATTAAACAATCATGGATTGATCTCGTGGGGAGAGAAAAAAAAAGTTGAATGGAAGAGAAAAAAAAAATTTGCTTTTAAAAACCCGCCACTGAGAGTGGCAATGGGACGAGTGTTGAACAAAAAAGTAAGAATAAAGGTGGGGAAAATTACATTTACTGAATGTACATTATGACAAACGTAAATGAACAAAGAAAATTATTTTTTATCTTAGACAAGTGGGAAAATTTGGACACCTGGGTTGCAAAAAATGTCCCCCTTCGAACCTACCCTTCTACCCCAAAATTTTCTCTAACCTTTTAATTTAAAAAAAGAAAGATCCAACAGAATTCGGTAAAAACATTTGGTGGACTGTTATTAAATTAATAAAAAATTTAAATTTATAACACATTTACATAACAAAGGAAATACTTAAAACACTTCCCAAAATTTGACGAGATCAAGGGTTATCAAATCAAAAAACCTCACTGTCTAACATGAAAATACAGGCCAGATTTACAAACAAACAATTTTATCTGAAGTTTCCTGAGCTGTTTGTCCATTTCGCCTATATCTCAAGTTATGCGGGAATGCACATCTAACTTTTTGGGCTCCTATTTGAGAGGTTAGCCCAATTTTCCCCTAAGCACAAAAATTTTTCCCTTCCATTAACTTCTTACTCCAATTCAAACAAGGGCGAGTCTCTTTGTGCAGTGCGGGCTCCCATTTCGATAACATAATTTTAAAAAATACAATAAGGCCCTATTTTCCTTAAATTCCGTATTTCCCCAAATTTCGTATTTTCTACCGCGGCCAGGCGGAGGTCGTGCTAAAACTCAAATTACTCCTTCCTTTTTTGGAGACAATTCCAGCCGGGCTGGCTTTTTTAGTGGCTGTTCCCTATAGTCTTACATGATTTCCTCTTCCTGCATAGCGTTACCTTCCTAAACACTCGGTCACTTTCCCCAATTTTCATTTACATTTGAGAAATGCAACCCAAAAAGGGGAACAAATTTTTAATTGGCATAAACTTTTCCCGGCCACGACACAAAAACTTTGACATTCCCGGGCAACACCTTTTGCTCTGGTACACTTTGCCCGGGCCTTTAATTTTATGTTTTTCAAATTATCAACACAAAGTCACCTGGTTAATGTTCCCCTTTTACTGCCCCTGTCGCACCATAAAATGTTCACGAGTGTAAGAAGTATTCCCCTTAAGCCACACATTAGACAATGTCAATTACTTTTTTAACATTTAAATTTATCACACAACACTGCGCATCATTGTAATCTTCATCATTTCTTCCGTTATCCTAAGCAGGGGCAGCTTCCAAATTCCTTCCCCATAATAGGGGAGAAGGTTAATACATCTTATCAGTGTACACTCATGTCGAGAGAGGGCCCATTATTTATCCGATTTTTCCCGCCCCCAAACCCACGGAATTCTCCAAATTAATTTTTCCGGGTGTAGAAACTTTGGGGAACCCCCCTTTTTTTTGGCCTTTTTTTCCCCCCCCCCCAAGGGGTTTGGGGAAAAAATTTCCCACCCTGCGGGGTTAAAGAGATGAACACGTTACATTATTTAATCTATAAAATTTTGGCACCTGCTACAAAATTTGTGGGATTTCCCAAAAAACACATCTCGGACAGGATCTCCCCAGCTGCAAATTTTCGAAACAGCTGTTAAACGTTCTGCGACAAGTCCTGTGCCACTTCTAAATGAATGCCCTAGTAGCATACAGGAACAAACAAACATACACTTTTAGTGGGAAAACCCCTCTGAAATACCTTTAAAATTATTGGGCCACTATAGAAACACCTGTTAAAAACAAATGGTTTCACTAATTTTACAAAAGCTCCTTTGGGAATGTGGAGGACCGGGGCATAAGGATCTGGCACCCCAAGGGGACATATTTCACAAGATTTTAAACACCCCTTTTTACACTTTGCGTCCTTGGGAACCAAAATTTCCCTAATAATTTAAAAATTTTTTGTCCCCCCACATTACATTTTTTTGGGAAATTTGAACAATTAAATTTTTTAATGATGATTTTTTTGGGCAGTAAGATAGGGTGTTTAGCATAACACCCAATTCACATTTTTTAACCCCTCTGCCCTAATTACATTTTTCTCTAAATACAGCCCCCAATTTTTCATTTTTGAACCTTTCACAAAATTTTTTTTCCATCATCAATTTAAACTCATTTCCATAATTTCTTCTTTTACCCTCTTTTCCAATATTTTTTAAGAGGGTGTAAAATTTTTATGAAATTCATCCTTTTTGAAATTTAAACACCAAATTAGTTACATTGATTTTTTTGGGTAAAGAAAATCCTATTTATACAAGGTAAGGGGGGAAAACTATTTACGGTGTCACATAATTTCAACAGGACAATAACGCCTTTTGTACGGCCAATTACTTTATTTACCAAAACCCCTCGGTCCTTTAA